TGTGTGACGATTATGTGTTGTTACAAACGGCACTTGTAAAAATCAAGTGTAATGAAAAAACTTTCACAGCGAGAACTTTATTAGATACAGGATCTAAAAGATCATTATAACCAGCAAAATGGTAAACCGACTAGGTATGACAAAAAGTAAAACAAATGTCAACGTTAGTGGACTTAGTGGGTCAGTAGTTCACACACCAATAAAACGTGCAAAATCACTTTGTGTGGAAATTCAAATAATATGATAAATGTAAATGCTTTAGTAATACAAAGCCTAACAAGTTAAAATCCCACTAACAATAAAAATCTATTTCAATATATGACCCAAATGAAATACGAGATTTAAAACTTTCAGATCCTGGATTCCTAAAATCAAATGAGGTTGATATGTTAATTTGGGTGGTACATTTATGGTCCTACGACAAAAATATATAATTCTAGGCAGAGACAAGCAAATTTCATAAGAAAAACATAAGAATATTTTTATAAGCTAAAATAAATTTAAAGTGCCACACCAGCAATAAAGTAGTAAATTGAATGAGCAAATGTGAAATGTAGAATACAAGTCCTTTCGTCGGAATTGGTACTTGAAAACACATTTGTAATCTTAAAATAATAAAAGTGATTAAAAAATTATGTCTTTGGCGATTATGTGTAATGGATATATTGTGAGAATTGAAAGAAATGTTGATGAAATTTGTTGAGAACAAACATTGTGTCGCAGACAAATTTACTGGTGGTGATGTAATGGCAAATCAACCGCTTGGAAGAGCTTGTTTGAAAATGTTTGATGGAATTGGATTTATTAATTTCACTAAAAAGAAGTTTTCCACTTGCGGTGGAAGATTATAGTAAAAAATATGTATACCACTGAAGGTGGCTAAAGAGGTGATCAAGTTTAATAACATAGATCCATCGAAGAATGAAATTTGATTAAAGGATGAAATTCACTTGAGGTGATAAGAAATATGTAAAAAGTCTACTAGATGTGGCTACGAAGCTGATCACAATTTTTATAACTGATCCCTAATTTGTTTTTAATTTCCACTAGAGGTGGTCATTTGTCACTAGAGGTGACTCAAATAAAAAATGTTAAAAAAATGAATGAAACAATAAATACAATATTTAAATTAAAAAAATGAAAGTCAATTTTAATAATGCCATATTGAGTATGTTTGAAGTTGAGAATGATCCAAGAAGTCTGGGAATTTCTACAATATACTTCGCATCCATTGTTGCACCCGTGTAAGGGGCCCGGCATGTTGAGGTTCCATCGATAATGCCATCGGTAAACTAATAATCGATACCTCAACTATCATTTCAAGTCATCAGAGAATCCCTAAGGAAGAAGAAGCAGAAAGCTAAATAACTTTGCCGCTAAAACATTAAGAATTGTTTTTAAAACGAATAAAACATTAATTCAGACCGCCAGAGTATTTAAATTAAACAAGTGTTTTATTTTACCAACCACCACCAGTTCCTAATTAGCAACACGTAAGTATCGCCTGTATACTTGTTGTGTTGTCTAATATTCATATTTATTGTTGTTCGTCTTTGTGCAACAAATATTTTCGGTTCTAAAGCTACTCTGTAGATTTAGAACCCCTACAAGTCCATACGCCTGTATCGGAACTTGTACAACATAACTGTTACTTCTGTTGTTCCACAAGATAGTCACTTATGTTTGTTCTGTACTTAAATGTACAGAAAACTATCCTTCTTTAGAACACGACATGTGTCCTGTAATTACTCAATAGGATCGTAAACATTAGAAAATGTAAACTCCTTTGTTGATCTTGGTGTTATTCTAAATAATAGACTACGTTTCCACTTGCATATTGAGGCTTGTGTTAATAAAGCAAAGTCATTGTTAGGCTTTAAAAACGTAAAGCAAACGTCTTTTTGTCACCCTTGTTCGACCTACCTTGGAATAATGTTGCGTAAATTGGAGTCCTTTCTACAAGTGTTATCCTGACAAATTAGAATCCGTTCAAATACAACTTCTTCTTTTTGCTCCTAGAGGTTTACCATGGAATGCAGATTTATCCCCCCGCCTTATGAAAATAGATTGAAACTTATAGATCTCCCAACTCTTAAGAAAGACGTTTAATGCTGCGAGCAATTTTTATTACAAAACTTTTAAAAGGCAATACCGCTTTGAGTTCTTTAGTTGGTGAAATTAAATGTGCCTCCACGTAACATGCGTAAATACACTATACTTAAACTTTCTTTAGCAAAGTATAATATTGTATTGTATATGCAATAAGATTATGTATATGCAATAAGAAAGGCAATCCTTCGTATGTCTTCGTGAAGCACATTTGGACTATTTCAAGAGTTTAAAGAAGATTTGCAAGTAATAAAGTTTTTATCCTACAAATTATAGATTGTGTTGTGTTTTGTCCGCATTTTTTTATTTAAAGGCGAAACAATTAGTCTTTGCCTCGGCAAAAAATGACTTTAAACTTAAGTTTTCTCTATGAATTCGCTTGCTGGCCGATCTTAAACCGAATCCTGTGGTACACCACTTGTAAGGGAGAGTACATTCCAACATTTACCATTAATAGAGACAAATTCGTTATCTATCGTGCCGAGAAGAACAAACAAGTATATACGCGATACCAGCAAAGGATGGAAATGGAGTTAAATACTTTGGTAAGATCTAGGACACGACTACAAAATTGAAACAAAAAATTAAATTTCGCCTTATAAGATCCGTAATATTACTTTTACATTGTACCGGATTAGGTTAACCCAGTGGGTTTCAATTGTCAATTCCTTTGCATATATGTCAAATAAATTCTCATAAATAAATAAATCCTCATAACCCGGTAAAAAGTTCTAATGTATACGCCGTTTAATATAAAGCAGTAACCCTTTGGTATTGTGTATTATACGAAAAGCAAATTGACCATTATAAATAGAACTACTCACTTGTGCCAGAATCTGTTCTTTCATAATATTTTAATTTTTTATTCGTTGGTCTATGGATATTTCCTTACAGACTATATAATGCAAAATATTGTTTTTAATTTTATGTATTTCCATATATCACAATTTTACTTTGCAATGTTTCACTATTCATAGACAAATCAATAAGATTTTTAAATTCATTAAAATCTTTAGACATTATTGTTAAGGTGTCTGCATTTGAATAATTCATTCTAGAAAATTGAATAGCTAGTGGTACATAATTGCGAATAGCTCTTTGGGGAATATTGACTCACTCATTATTACATTAAAAAATGATACATTCAACATTTTCCTTCGGATTTTTAAAGTTGGCAGCTTGATGAGGGAAAGTTTATGTTCCATAGACAGAAAAGAAGAACAAAAACAGAAAGAAGAAATTGATTTATATGGAGGATAGAGGGCGAACGAGCGTTGTGTATATATTTTTTGTGACATAAGGATTCATGAACTCCCAACTCCACCGTTTAATAAACGCAAGCAATGACATGGCTTTGTTTATTATTACTGAAATGTGTGAATTAAAATTCAGTTTACGATCCAAAAGAACTCCTAGATCCACAAACTCATTAACTTTTTCCATAGAGTTGTCGTTTAGTGTATTACCAGAATCAATTAACCTCTTTCTTGTAAATCTCATGAGTTTGCATTTCGAGTTATTTATTTCCATAAGCTTAATATTACACCAATTCGTAAATGAATTTAAATCGTGTTGTAACAAATCATTACTTGAGATGTCTGAAAAACTGAGAAATAATTTCACACCGTCGGCATACATCAGGATATTTGAAAACTTTATTGTTTTTTTTATGAATAAAGAAAATAGAAGCAGACTTAGATGGCTTCCTTGTGAAACTTCAGAGGAAACTAAAATGTTTCTCGATACGGTGTTGTTAAATTTTACGTTTTGTGTTTTAGGTATGCAGAAATCCAGTTGACACTTCTTTTAGTAAATCCCAAGTATTCAAGTTATAATCGTAACAGTTTGTTATTGACTTTACCAAATGCTTTGCTGAAATCCATGTAAAGAACATCGGTTTGCATTCCTCAAAGAAATCCCCGACTATGGTGGAAAAATGTAGAAGATTTGTTGCTGTGGAGTATTTTCTCTGAAATCCATGCTTTAAGGAGAGAACTAACATGATGGTAAAAGTTATCAGTGATGATTTTTCAACGAGCTTTGGAATAACACCCAATTTTGCAATTCCACGATAATTAGCCACATCGGATTTATTTCCACTTTTAAAGAGGCGAATGATATACGACGTTTTACAGATGTGAGGAAAAACTGGTTGATTAATCGAAACGCTAAAAACATAGTTAAAGGTAAACCAAAGCATCAGCACATCAAAAATTATATCCAGATCAAAAATTATATCCATATTCTTCAATCCATTTATAACCATTCTACTGTCCAACAGTGTAATTGATATTGATTGGTTAGAGTTCAAATCATGGCATAACTATACAAGGTAGTATCATGCAGTCATATGTTTCCATTTTTTCATAAATTTGCTATTGACAGCATTCAGCTTTCAAAATATAAACGAAAATATAGTATAGAATTTTTCAATTTTTCAGTACACCATTGTTAAAATTTCTCTTTTATCTTACTCTCATTTACTGTATTTAAAAGTTGTCAAACAACATTCAGTAACAATTTGTACAAATTATACTGGATACGAGGTTGTAAAAAGCCTATATGATTGCCAACAATTTTAAAAGTGAAAGTGTCTATAATTTTTATTTTAAAATCAATTTTTTGTTTGTTTTTATTTAATTTGTTTATTTCTCTGAATACGTATTTTCTTTTATACACATATAAATGAAAATAAACTGACAAAATTATTTAATTAGAACATGTGCAATTTCCAGTAATTTTTGGCACCAAAGCGGAATTTCAAGGCATATTATAGTGTTTTCATGCTTTGTTTAAAATAAATGACACTGGAATCGTAATATTATTTAAAAATAAATAAATTAATGCCCATACGGAAAAGAATGAAATCATACGGAAAAGAATGAAGTTTACTATAACAATTTGCCAAGAGCATGTATTTCATCTAGAAAATAATCCATATCATCTTCATTGAGGCATGAATTCTGCAACACTATTCTGAAGAAATTCGGTAAATTTCGCAGTGGCTGATATGTGACCATCATTGAACCCTTTTTTATCATAGATTCTTTAATTTTTGGCGCAACTTTATGTAATTGTTCATAATACGTGGAATCTTTATCCCGATTTCTTAAACTGGGCGGCACATACCAAAAACAAATGTTAGTACATTCTGGATTTTCCAAAACTAGTTCGAATCCATCTCTTTTTTTGATGCTATTTGTTATATATTCAGCCATACGAAATATTTGGTTAATATGTTGTTCAAGTCCATATGTGCCTTTTGCTTTCCACATGAACCAGAACTTAAAAACGTCAGCTCTGCGACCACATTGAATGTGCTTATCACCAGTATCGTAACTTGTGTCATAAAATTTGTCTTTTTGAAAAAGATATGTAGCATTAGTAGAATGACATTTACTCAGAATATCTTTATGTTTGGTTAAGAAAGTTGAACACTGTTGCGACGCTGTTAACATTTTATGGGGATTCCACGTGACAGAATCGGCCCTAAAAAAATAGTACATAATGATCAAATATTTTTTATTTTAAGTACACTTCATAATACCTTTCTATGCCTTTTAAAAGTCGGCGATATTTTTGACTCATTAAAGCGCCTCCTCCCCAAGCGGCGTCTACATGCATCCATATTGCATATTTCTCACACAACTTGGCAATTTTTTCCAGATTATCGTAAGCCCCTAGAACAGTTGTCCCAGCGGTTGCTGATACCATTAGTGGTTCGCAGCCTTCTCGAATATATTGTTGTATTCTGGCCTCCAAGTCATCTGTGTCAATTTTTCCACACGTGTCGGTTTTTATTTTGCACACATTTTCACTTCCAAATCCCATAAACATAGCTAGTTTTTCCACAGAATAATGTGAATCCTCTGATGTGAAAATTATTTGTCTCTTAGTTCCAAAAAGTCCATTTATCTAGATTGAAGAAACAATTGGCAATTACTAAAACATGCATTAAACCTGAATATCTAACAAATTTTAAATATTTTAAACATGGTTTATTAAGGCGATTTCATGCCCAAGGCTACGTTTAGACTACTAAATCCACTCGAAAATCTCAATTCCATTGCGTATGCGTCACGTTAATCCAGTTCACAAATCCAGTGTATTGTATTTGACGTATAAGCAATGGAATTGACATTTGAGATCGAGTAGGCTTCATAACTCTAAATGTACCTTTTGTCTTCTCTTGTTGTCTACATTTTAATCGCGAAATATTAGCCAGAAAAGGATAAAAACTCATAATATGAACATGTATTTTGGTTCGAATAAAAATATTTTTTGTTTATTTATTCCAAGGCCTATATAAGGTCGGCCAGTAAGCACATCTGAGTATAAAGTTTGCTGTCAAATCATATTTTGAAACCTATACATACGTACAAAATTATGTTAGACGTCAAAACGAAAATATTAATATTTTGTGAACATTCAATTTAATTTTAATTTACATCGTCTTTGTGAAACACATTTGGACTATTTCAAGATTTTAAAGGCCAATTATCTTACAAAACTATAAATTGAGTTGTGGTTTGGTTGTATTTTTTATTTAAAGGCGAAACAATTTGTTTTCGCCTCGGCAAAAATATTTGACGTTAAACTTAAGTTTTCTTTATGAATTCGCTTACTGGCCGACCTTATATAGGCCTTGATTTATTCTTCAAACAATAAATTTGACAGTCAATGAAAACTTCGAATTCGCCACCCTGTTAACCATGGCGCAATAAATAGGTAGTCCATTTAGCTCAGCTGATGTCTCGATTAACTGTCAAAGTGCGTAATTTCTACTTGAATTCGATGTGCAGAGTTGCCAACCATGTGATATATTATATGGAAAAATTTGACAGAAGGTTTTTGTTGTGATACATCACCTTATTATTGCATCATGCTGTTAACCTTATGAACAAACCTTGATTTTAACAAAGTGATGTTTATGTATTAGCATATTTTCAATAAATTAAACAAAATATATTTTCTAAAGCCGAACATAGCTCTCAAGACTTAACAATGGTTGTTACATTTTATATTTATAAGTTTTAGAGGCAGGAAACTTCAAAATATTTATTAATATAAATTAGCAATTCTTGCCACTAAAAACATTGCATAAGTTTGATACGTTCTGACTCAACTTCCCGAGCTCAGTCAATCACGTCTGCTGATTGACACCACGGGCATCTCCTCTGCAAGTTCCCTCAGCGGAGACCGTAGAGTGCAGATGCCACCGATGCCAAATCACCATACTAACACCATGTACGTATACTCAAATTTCGTTAAAAGTGAGCTACCGCGAGTGTTAGTCTTTTTTGTTTGTTTGCCAATTTCTATCGAAATTGAATTGGCATTAGTCGGCTTCCAGTTATCCCTACGCGTGTGATTTCAATCGTTCGCATACAGTCCACATTTGTTGAATTTTCTGTTGTAGTGATCATAAAAATCATTGTTGATCATTGGAGAACAAATCTGTGTTGTTGCTATTTTTGTTTGCTCTGAATTTCGTATTTTTAATTTCACCATAGCAACACACATCACCCGTTCTCATTTCTTGTGCAATTTAAGTCGTTTTAGTCGACTTACAATACCATTCCTTTTTTAATACATACTATCTCCCATAGAAAATATTAGCAGTCTATCGCCTTGTACTGATCACCCTACGTCGCGTTGATCATACAGAAGCATTCGGTATTGTTGTTACCACTATTCTTCGCCTTAGCTTTGTTGATTCTCATTAAAAACCTCAGTGAGAATTCGAAATAATATTGGTTTATTTGTTGCTATTTACCCTCACCAACCAAATATATTCGTTTTTTGATACTCGTCTTCGGTTTTCCTAATAAAGCCTACAACTGAGAATAAAATTTATAATTTTTCACTAAAAACAAACATCTTCTCCCAACTTCTTGTTCGTTTGGTTTATTTGTTGTTTTAATTCTCACCAACCAAACGAATTCGTCTTGTTGTCATCCCCCTCATTTGTTCTTCAAGTGGAGAAATTACATTGTAATATTTCCAATAACAACATAAAAAAACTCTTCTCCTCCTATTTTTCGTTTGGTTTATTTGTTGTTGCATTATTCGCCAACCAAACGATTCGCTTATTAAATTTGTATGTTGTTTGTTGGGCTTTTTTGGTCAGCTAATTATTATGAAATTAAAACGATTTTTATTTCATATTTGCTCGACGTTTCGTTGGCTGCTGTTGTCATTCTTCTATTCTAAACCTCAGAGAATTTCCATTACCAAATAAACAATAACAACAAACACCCTAACAGTCCACCTTGTTGTTTGGTTCTCTTGTTGTATCGATCCATCAACAACCAAACATACTTCTGTTGTTATTATTGTTCTAACGTTCACATTTCTCACTGCAGAATTTGTCTCGTCATTTTGCAATAACAACACACGTGTATTCCACGCGCCTTTTTATAGCGTAACCTTGGTATAACAGAAAATATACCAACAATTGTTGTCGACTCCAACTCTCACTGTTGGATCGTTTCTCGCGTCGTGTGTTGTGTGGGTGCGTAGCTGCTTACGCATAGCCATTTCGCTGTTAGCGTCGCTTGTGTTTTATTCTGTTTTGTGTGATATTTGTTATTCACCACACTACAGCACAGTGGTACCAAGCGGCAAAATTGTGAATTTTCAAAAACAATTATATTAAAAAATATTTTTGAATCCTTTTTGAATAAATACTGATTGGTAGTAGGGTTTTTGATATTTTTGGACAAATTCACCCTACATTCGGCCGCAATTGCATACCATTTAAGCATAAAAAGTGCTTGTGGAAAATATTAATTTTTGAATATTTTTCTATTGTTGTTGTTGTTTTCAATTCCACCATTGAACATTAAATCACTTCTTGTGAGGCTTTCAGCATTTTGGACTTTTGCACCCTACACTTGGCAATTTCGTACATTATTCGGAGTAAGGAAATACTTGTTTTTCCTATTAGTTTGGCAATTTTATCCATTGTAGTCGTGTTTTACTCCACAACTTTGTATATTTGAAATCTTGTTTTAGAATTATCTACATATTTTGGACATTTGCACCCTACAATCGGCCGTTGTTACATATATCCAAGCAAAATTACTTGCTAATATTGTTTTTGAGAATTAAATATATTGTTTTTTTTTTGTTTTTATACATTACTTTTGCTCAGTGGATATATTCTTGTTTGCTTTTTGGACAACCGCCTACCCTATTATTTGCATTCACCTCCTCAACTACACCCTACCCTAATTGAGGAAATTTGAAAAAAAATACTTGTTTTTTGTGGTCTTTTTAAAGTAGTTTGGCATCGTGAAGAAATTCTTCAAAATTGTCTTCACTTTGTACTACTTTAACATAGACATTTGCAATATTTTACAAATTTTGTCCATATTTTTGAGTTTTTGCTGAAATATATTTTGAGCTATAGCAACATTTCTTTACCATACATAATGTCGATAACTCCTCTCACCAGCTTCAATAGAGCCACTTACATTGTCCTAAAAAGTGTGGAATTCTTTGAACGAATTCCAGAATCCCAGTATTCTGTATACAACCTCGAAATTCGCAATACAGAAATTCGAGAGTTATGGGATAAAGTTAAGTGCACATATAATGAATGCATAACATACTTTGCGACATCCGAGACTTCACAGGTTGATATATTTGATGTCGTTGAGGAAAAATATAATACAGCATTTATTGCGTATTCTTGGTGTCTTCCCACCATAAATCGACATCTCAATCGCCTTCAAAGTCTTTTATATAATAGTTCCCCTGATGTAGCTTAACCAATTTCACAATGTCAACCAGTTTCATCTCCACTGAGTTCACCATCTCCACCAAATTGTCAAAATTATATGCCATCTATCACCTTGTCTCCACCTTCAGCTTCGAATACTGTGCAGTCCACCACTCCTATAGTTGCTTCAGAATTTCAAAATTCTGCCACCAACAATAGCTACACCAATCCACCTGTCGATAATCATAGTCTTGTTGTTCCACCTATCGACATTGAAATTTTTGCTGGAGATTTTATATCTTGGCCCACTTTTCGGGATCTGTTCACAACATTGAACGTCTCTGTCACCTAATACAGAAGACCACCGGTGAGGTTCGTGAAATCGTTTCCAGATTTCCACTCACCAATTCTAGTTTCCCTTTAGCGTGGAAAGCTTTTTCTGATACGTATGACAATAAACGAATTGTGGTAAATTGTCATCTCAAATGTTTGTTTGAAATCCCCTCCTTAGACAGTGAAACTATTTCTGGCCTTAAAACTATCCAACGTGGGATAAATAGTTGCCTTGCTGCAATGTCAATCTATGACGTCACCACGGATCATTGGGATCCTATTGTTGTTTTTATTTGCTTGCAGCGATTGCCAAAAATTACTTTGACTCTGTGGGAGCAAAGTATAGAAAATAAATCGTCGTTGTCCTCTTGGGTAGAATTAGACGCTTTCCTCACAGAGAGGATACAAACATTGATTTGTCTAGAACACGCCCTCCCCTCCAAAAATAAGTTGTTGCCAAAGAAAATGCATTCTCAAACCTCCTCTGAGAAGTTGTCACCTAGTAATATCGCTACACCTCAATCCCCCAATAAATTGTTGTCGGTACATAATTCTAAATGTGTTACCCCACCTCGAGCTATAAATTCACCCTCCACAACTTCTTGTACCATTTGTCATGACCAGAACCATCATCTTCGACTCTGCCCCCAGTTTCTAAAACTTTCTTTTGAGGACAAATTCTCGATTGTAAAGAAAAATAAATGTTGTGTAAATTGTTTATCTCGTGGTCATGCAGTTAAAACCTGCAATAGTAAACATATTTGCACTACTTGCAAGCAAAGGCACCACAGCCTTCTTCACCGTCCACCAATTAATAAGGTTGTTGCTCCCTCCAAGTCACCTCCGGCTTTTACAA